CGTGTTTGATGAGAGTTCCAGAAGTAGAGAATATAAACAATAGTGAAGCTTTATTCACATCCGTCGTATATTTACCGAAATGTTCCCATCTCAGTGATCTACCTCCACTGCCCCATTTGAAGTTCTGACCACCCCTTCCTACCACTCCTTCCCCTTTCTCCGCAGCACTTACCAGCTTCTAACATTCTTCATTAATTATGTCTATTTATTGCCTCCCCTGACTAGAATGTGAGAGCTATGAGGGTAGAAACATATCTGTTTTGAAAACAGCTGGGGCCGGCCGAGTGGCACGGTGGTTAAGAGCTGGCTTGGAATGCCAGAGGGCCCCGGTTCGGATCCCACATGTGAGGGCCAGTGACACTGCCCTCCACAGCTAAGATGCTGAACAACAGCTCAACCTGGAGCTGGGCTGCTGTGAGTCGCTGGCGACGATGTAGGCTGCAGCCCCTGTTGCAGTGGGTTGCCATGGGCTACCGTGTGTAGCCAGCAGCCAGCGTGAGTGGCCAGCAGCCACCGTGAGCGGCCATCCAGAAGCCGGCGAATGATCTGCCTTGCCTGGGAAGAGCGCAATGATGGTGCCAACTTGGGCCAGTGAAGCAACATCCTCCACAAACTAGACTGAAGAACAAAACGACAGCAACTTGTCTGTTCCCCTTCTCCCCATTCCCCAATAAAAATCTTAAAAAAAAAAAAGAAAAAAACAGCTGTATCCCCCTAGAACATTAACAAGCAATTACACTTCACAAATATATGTTGAATGAATAATTAATTAATGGCCGAGAATTTTTCATAATGGAAGAAGAGCAGTGAGACCTGTTTGAAGGTGAACAGCAAAAATCTAAAACAAAAAAAAGTTATAACACATTATTGTGACTATAGAAGCAATTTGAATAAAGACTATGTATGTTTATGAATATTCTGTCTCCTTAATATGATGATTGTATTTATGTAAGAAAATGTTTTTGTTCTTAGGAGGTGCATGCTGAAGTATTTAAGGATGAATTGTCATGGTATCTAAAACTAGCTTTCCTGATTAAGGAAAAAACATTTATCTATTATATATATATATGCATGAATATGCATATTTACAAATAAATATAAAGCAAATGTGGAAATTTAAGAGTTGGTAAATCTAAACAAGGCATATATAGGTGTATATTTTCTATAGATCATGAAGTTTTTCAAGATAAAAATTTGGAGGAAAATAAGTTGGTACATATTAGTAGAAAAGAGATTTAACCCCAGCACTAAGCAGAATAAATAAAAATATGGGAACTTCTGATGAAGAGATTAGCAATTCCTTTCCTCTCCTCAAAATAACTATAAAACTGGGGAGGGTGGGGGGAAGAGTCAACCATGTCAGGGCTCTGGAAATCAACCACAAGGAAATAACAAATTGAGAGGCTGCTGAACTTTGGAAGAATCAGTGGGGTCCTGGGGCTCCTATTCTCCTCCCAAGATTGATGGATGAGGTATTGCTAACAGGGCAAGGATGGCAGTAAAAAACTAAGAGCTTCTCTGCCACAGTGGACTGGCTTGATCTGGGGCGGAAGGCATAGAGCCCATGCCCAACTTTATTGTTAGTAAAAGCAGCAAAGTCAGAGGGGTAAATACGAGGCATGACACTTAAGTTCACAAACTCATCCTAGAAAAAGTGCTACATACCTCATTGCTGAATATCACTACGGTCACCTTTGAAGTACTCCCCTTGGGAAGCTACGCACTGATGCCAGCGCCTAGTCCACCCTTCAAAGCAATTATAGAACTCTTTTTCTGGAATGGCCATCAGAGCTGTCATCGTATTACCCTTGATGTCCTGAGTGTCATCAAAATGTCTTCCTTTCAATATTTCCTTTGTCTTCAGGTAAAGAAATAAGTCATTGGGGGCCAGATCACGTGAGTAGGGAGGGTGTTCCAATACAGTGATTTGTTTACTGGCTAAAAACTCCCTCACAGACAGTGCCGTGTGAGCTGGTGCACTGTTGTGATGGAAGAGCCATAAATTGTTGGCGAAAAGTTTAGGTTGTCTAACTTTTTCACGCAGCCTTTTCAGCACTTCCAAATAGTAAACTTGGTTAACTATTTGTCCAGTTTGTACAAATTCATAATGAAAAATCCCTCTGATATCAAAAAAAGTTTAGCAACATGAATGCAACAAGTTCACAAGCTTAATTGGCTGGCCTTGTATGTAACAAATATAAAGGTATATATGCCTTAAAACAGAGTCCCAAAATACATAAAGCAAAAACCAACAGAACTGAAAGGAGAAATAGACATTTTAACCACTATAGTTGGAAACTACAATATCACATTCTTAATAATTAACAGACCAAAAAGACAGAAAATCAGCAAGGCTATTGTAGACTTGAACCACCCTATCAACCAACTTGACCTAACCGACATTCTTTAATATTCCCTCAAACAAGAGCAGGCTACTGTATGTATTCTTGTCAGGTGTAATCATTCTCCAGGATAGACCAACACTAGGCTATAAAACGAGTCTCAAGAAATTTAAAAGGATTGAACTCATTCAAAGTATATTCTCCAACAATAAAGAAATTAAAAATAACAAAGAAATTTGCTAAATCTTTAATACTTGGAAATGAAGTAACATAATTCTAAATAACCCATGGGTCAATAAAGAAATCACAAAGGAAATTCAAAAATATTTTGAATTAAATGAAAACAAAAACACAACATATCGAATTTATGAGATATGACTTAAATAGTACTTAGAGGGAAACTCAGAGTTTAAATACATATATTGGAAATGAAGGGTTTCACATCAATAACCTAAGCTTCCACTTTAAGAATAAAGAACAATGAATTAAATCTAAAGCAAGTATTACAAAAGAAATAAAGACAGGGGTGGTGGGCACAAAATCAGTGAAACAGGAAACAGAAAAACAATAGAGAAAATCAAGGAAACCAAAAGATCTTTGGGGGGGAAAAATCAACAAAATTCATAAGCCTTTATTTAGATAGACTAAGAAAGAAAGACAACACTGAATACCAAAATCAGGGATGAAAGAGGGCACATCACTACCAACATTACTGAAATTAAAAGGAGTGTCAGAGATATGTCAACAAATGAGACAATTTAGATGATCAAATTCCTCAAAAACCAAAAACTACCAAGACTGAAGAAAAAATAGAAAATGTGAAGAGCTCTATAACAAGAAAATAATTACTTAAAAAGCTGCGTGCGTGCACGCACACTCTCACACACACACACACACACACACACACACACACACACAAAGGGCTAGACTGCTTCACCTAGTGAATGCCATCCATTATTTAAAAAAGAAATAACACCAATCCTACACAAATTCTTTCAGAACATAGAGGCAGAGGAATAGTTTCCAACTCATTCTATGAGATCAGTATTACCCTTTTATTAAAGCAAGACAAATCTATCACAAGAAACCTAGAGACCACCGTCCTTCATGCATATACACATGAAAATCTGTAACAGTATATTAGCAACCAAAACTTAGCAATACATAAAAAAGATTAAACACCACCACGGGGAAGTTAGATTTATGTGACCATGACGTTGATGAGGCTCCTGCCTCCTTTCTGTTCTGACATCGCCCTTCAGACCAATGTACAACACCAGTGCTGGTTCATTTATACAATTATCAGTGTGGCTGTGGGTATGATGTTTGAAATTCAGTAACCTAATCCTATTGATTGGGATGAAATTATAGATATCAAAACAATTAGGTTGAAATTATGGCATCAAAAGAGATTCAGGACACCATACTCGTAAAAGGAGGAGAAAGCAAGATTTCCAATTTCAACCTTGATGCTGAGGATTCATACACCTGACAAGGATTTAAAACAAATAAAAGATGAAAAGGTAGGTAGGCAATGAGCTAGATTCTCAGTTCAGTTATACCTGGGGCCTAAAATGATCCATCACCAACCAGACACATGAATTCAGCTGGTTAAGGGGTTTCCCTAGAAATTCCAGCTGAAATGATGGGGAAGCGGACTGTGTATCCTCAGCGATTTTGAAGAGATGGTGTATTGTGAGTTCCTTTTTCTAACTGCCTGTCAACTCAAGCACTGAAATCCGGTGCTAAATTTTAGGCTTATCTACATCTGGTTACCAGTTAAGGTGACAGAGTTTTCCAAGCTCCGGAAGGTTCATTTCTAGGTTCTTCCTTTTAGAGACACTTATCAGCGTGAGGATGATGCATCTTGCCACCCATTCCACCACCACCTACATCAGCCTGGATCTGGGTGGAAAAACATACTGAATAACCCACAAATGCAGTCCATACATAGTATGGTTGAGGGTGAGAGGGGCACTTGCATACACCTAAAACTTTCATATGCATGTCTTGGAACCTGAACAAGAACTTCTCTGAAAACCACTGTATGTAGGTGGTCGTTCATTTATGCATAGTTTAGAATTACAACTTTCAAGCCATAGCATTAATAAGTTACCCAATTCTGCCCTATAAATGAACATAAAAATCTAATTAGTTTAAATTGTTTTTGCTATATGACAAGTCTTATTATTTCCATTTTTAAAAAGGAGCATTTCAGATGAAAGAAAGACCGTGAATCCATAAAAGAGACAAAGCCCCTGGATGTCATAGGAGATTGGAAATAAAGTGAAAGTCAACGTAAAAAAAAAAAAATCTGACTAATATTTTAAATAATGAAACCAGGACATAGCTACATATTTTGTGGCAATCCTCGCAAAATGTCTTTTCTACTAATTGAAAGCAAGGATCAAAATTTTGAGTAGACATTTCCAGGAAAAGTATGTCTAGAGTAAGTATATAACCTCGTTCAACATGCCAATTTCAAAATTAAATTTGGCTGATCATACATACAAATCATCGAAGTTCATATCTTTTTCTAGATGGATTTCAAACATGTCAATATAACATTTCTATATTATAAATTAATAAAATAATTCATAACAATTCTATATAGACCATATGCAAGTTTATTTAAATAAATTAACACTGCACAGAGAGCTAATGTATAAGTATAAAAGTAGATGGTTTAGCAGCCAAATATAAGCACCACCCGAAAGCAGATTACACATACACCACCAGTCTTTGGAAGATTAAGGCAACATTAATATCTCAAGCAATTTCATGAGAACACTTTGCTCATATGATAGTCAGATGTTATTAAAACATCTCAAAATAGGCAGAGCCCACAAATTTTTCAGTATGAAGTCTTCCCTTCCACTTTTCCTGTCAATACATTCTTTTTAAATACTGTACAACAATTAGTCAAGATTGACGAAGGGGCTATCAAAGCCACTATCTTGTTGGCAAGACAGAGGAGCCATTAGTTTTCTCGAAGGGTGCCGATGCACTGAAGATGATTCTGGATTGCTCAGCTTTTTGAAGTCTGACTTGAGTGTATCAGCCTTCTGACCAGGTGGGTGCCCAGGAGACATACTGATCTTCCCTGGCTGGGAAAGGCTGGTAGCTTCGGACAGGTCTGGGAGGTGACCACTCTGACATTTCATCCGTTGACAACTCATAAGATTTTTCTCTGTATCTGAAAGACATCTGGCTGCTGAGAACTGTTTGAAAAGACCAGGCTCAGTTAGCATATCCAGAGTTTCTGGTGGCCTACCCCGTAAAAACGCCACTTCATCACTGTTGCAGGGTAAAGTGGCACTGCTAGAATGCCATCCCACCGAGTCACTGAGGTCTCCTCCATCCTTTACTGGAGCTTCCCAAACACCCAAACTTTCATGTTTCTCAGGTTCAGCATTTTTACTTCCCATTAGTGGATTGCACTTATAAACTTTGAAACCAAGTCTTTCATTAGGACCTTGGAAGGGTATGCATGTAGATTCAGATTCAGAAACACGAGGGGCATGTCTTGGTGAGGGCTTATTTCCAAAGGTTCCCAGAAAGGGGTATTCGGCTGCATGCAGACATGATTCAGAGCCAGAGTCCCTGGGAGAGTCTTTCTTCTGGTGCAAACCAAAGCCTCTTTCACCTTCGCAAGGAACAAACTCAGGAGAAACATTCCTTGGCAAAGTGTCTAGATGTTTGTGACTGTTATCCTGGAACTGAAAGTCTAAATGTGACCCTTGGGGACCCACATGCTTTATGTCTTCGTGCTCTGCGTCCTCCAGCCGCCTTCGTAAGTCACAAGCAGCCTTCTTCTTAGGAACTTGGTTGCACATATTCCTGGGGATGGTTTTCACACCATCTGATTTGTTTTCAGTGTGACATGGTATATTCTGATTCACACCATTCCTTTTTGATTTGTCTACACCAATTATCTCTGAGGCCAGAGGCAGTACTATAATATACAAGGGAACACAGAATTAGGAGAAAATTAACACTGAAAGAGAAGAGAAAATGTATTACACGTTCATGTATTCCCAAAGAATGCATACTTATTTTAAAATTAACAAAGAAAATACATCAATGCTGGACATTTTAAAATAATCTTTTACATATATCCATTAAATGAAGCTAGATAATTTTGCTGTTGAAAGCTGATGCATTATTATTGCCATCCACCTGATCCATTATTCCCTGCAATAGATGTTACAGCATTTTAAGAGCCAACTGCAATGTTTTCAATCCTGCCGCTTCAAAGACGGAGTTTCAGATGAAGAAAGTTTACTGGAAGAACTATCCAACGCCTGCATGCCTGTCCCTAAACACACACACACACACACACACACACACACACACACACACACACACTACAGACTAATCAGAGTCTGATTTAATTAGCTGAGACATTAAATCTGATCACAGGCAAATCAGCCACATAGCATAGACTCAGAAGCACCATATCTCAGAATAGTGGACCCTGGTCCCTAGAGTTCATGAAAGGATTTGCTACTACTGAGACATTATTTGCACATTAATATCTCAAATCTAGAAAACTCTTTTCTTGTTTTATGCCACTGCCCTTTTATACCAAAGGTTCACATCGCCATTACAAAACTTACACAAATAATCTTTGTGCTTCTATTTGAAGAATGTTTACCAGTATCAGACTCAGGGACTCCTGAACAATCTCTGCCTGGCACTTTCCAGAAGTCCAAAAATCCCATTTCCCCACAGCTATGTTCAAAATCCCCCAGCATGACTGGGAATTTACGTGTGTTCATGTATGTTCATCAGCTTTTGATTTACATACTCTAAAGCTTTTTTTTTTTTTTCTGTAGAGAAAGAAACCATTTACATAGCTTCTTGGGAAGCTGTTCCATTATCATGAACTTTGGTCCCTTTTAATGCTAACTCTAACTTACCTAAGATTGTATTCAATCCTACAATTTATCTAATATCAGCACTGTATTTGCTTATGTCACTCTCCATCGCCTTATTTCAAATTATAGATGTTCTTCTTGTAACAATAATATAAGTCTGTGTTTTTAAAAATTCTCTGAAAGTTGTGGTCTCTTTAATAAGCAAGTTTAACCTATTTCCATTAGTGTGATTGCTGATATTTCAACCAACTATTATTTTCTCCTCACCCATGGTTTCCAGGTATATTTTTCCTCTTTTTTGATTCTGTTAGATTGAAAACATTTCCTTCCAAGTTTTTCCCTACCACTTTGAAAGTTATATACTCTATTTTTATTTCCCTATTGGTTACCCTTAAATTTCAATACACATACTTAAACCTGCATTTCTCTAGCAACGGCTACAGTTATCAATTATCTATATCCTCTCCTTTAAAACAGCAAAAATCTTAGCATATTGTTAGTTTTCTCTACAATATATACTCTTACATTGTTCTGAGGGCACTACACTTTTCTAACATTTTCAGGTCCTGATGTTTGTTCTGTGAATTCCATTTCCTTAGGTATAAGTTCTGTTGGGTTTTTTGTTTTGTTTGGAGTGTGATGTCTTTCTTCGTGGTGCTGGCTTTCTATCAATAGATGATGATTCTTGTTGAATACTTACGTTTTAGATATCCTGAATGTGGCATCTGCGCTGCTTGTTTAAAGGCGTTGGGAGTGGAGTGGGCAAGGACAAGCTGTAGGGAAGGGAGCCCTACGAGCTGGTCCTCTGGGCCTACAGGCCCTCAGATCGCTCTTGGTGTGGCTAGCCACCTGGAGCTCTGTCCTGCTTCCTGGCCCTTTGTTCCTATTGCTCTTACCCAGCCCAATATTGGGGTTGGGGGTGGAAGAGGAGAACGGGAAATAAAGAGGGTGACCCCACCGGATTACCACTGATCTACAACACCAATTATTTATCCCAGTGGTATTCCCCAGGCTTACTGCTTCTCCCGGAACAAGCCACCTCCATCGGTGAAACAGTTTTGAGGTTGCTGCTTGTAGCTGTCATCTTCGGGGTTCCCATCTTCACCCTCACGCTGTCTTCTTTCTTTCAGGGATCTCTCTAGCTTCTGGTCTCTCAATTGACACTTTTCTAAGCCTGGTTATAATTTCTTCTTTTTCTCCTTTTTAATGTGTTGTTTAAAATCTTTTCTATCATTTCCGGGGATGAAAGCAGTAATAGGAAGCTGACGGGTACGCTCAGTCTGCCTACTTGAACCGGAAACTCTACATTCTTTTTTTAAGTTTCTAGTTTAAGTGAAACACACACACACAGCTTTATAAATCACCTTTCCCTCCTTACATTCCCTCCTCTTTGTCATTCTCAAAATAATAAATATCTAAAACGAAGGGAGAGAAAAACCCTTTAAGGGACTCATTTTGACATACCTGCCTCTGCAGTTTTGCTCTGGGATCTGTAAGAAATAGGCGTTTCCAGCAATTTTGCCATTGCAGCAAGTTTGCTAGCAGTGTTCATAATCTTTTTCTCAGCTCTGTGGGAATTCCAGAATATTAAGTGAATATAGTTTAAAGGAAAAAATGAGTTTCCTTAGCCCTAGGATTTCTGTTTTCCTATTAGCTCTGCCAACATTTAAGGTAGCAAAGCCATTAAGCCTCTCTTAACCCCCAATGGCTGATCAAGTAGAAATAGTTAATACTGTGGTTAAGGCAAATGCTTAGAAAATGACAACATGTCATCTTGGTACTCTAAGGACACAATGTTTATTTAGACTGAACTTACCCTTCCTGTTTTCCATTATCCTGCAAGATCTGTTGGAGGCAAATCAAATAATATTTGCGCATCTTTCGGGCAGTTTCTTGACGTTCTCGCAGTACCTCTGTTTTTACCATTTCCGCAGCTCTTTCTTTACTCTCCTGAATATAACGAAGCATGTCACCTGGGGGGTAAGGGGGAGAGAAGGGGAAGGTGGAGAAATCCCCACAGAGTGTGTGTTCTTTACCAGTTTTTCAAAAACAGGAGAGGCAGGCTTCAGACCAATTTTCTAGGAGATGAAGTGATTTGGAGGTGTAGAAACATTATACTTTTCTACAATCATTAAAATGGAATACTTCAGATCGCTATTTTGGTAGACTCAAAGGAAAAGGAATCTATAAGTCCTTCTAGAATGATGACAGCCACATATGGTAAGAAAATTCCCTAGGGAAACGTTGTCATGTTCTGAAACACTGAGGCAAGAAAAAGCCATAAATATGAAGCACAGAAATGCATGCATTTCAGTTGTATATTATGCCCAGCTATAGGAGGAGAAAAAAGAAATACGTATACAGAAAAGGGTGAGCCAGAGAGAAAAAGTGAAGCAGACTCAGAAAGACAGAAGGTGGCAATATGAGCTGAAGAGACTCATTCTTCTGTTTACTTGTGCTTCAAAAATCCAAATTTCGTCATTTATTCAACTCTTTCAGCACCGCTTTGAGTATCCAATTAAATATAATCTTACCATCCATGAGAGATATGTACACAATGTTATTTCAGGGAGAGGAATGTGACTTATGTTGCCCTCTGAAATTTACATTTAAAAATAGTTCACAGGTTTCAAGATCTCTTTTTACCTTTAACTCAACATGATTTGATTGGGACCACCATTAGTCAAGGTTAACATTTTTACCAAATTCAGGGCTATATCCTACATCTATAATATCATATCCCTGTTATAGTAAGGATTCCAATTCATAGAGAAAATCCTCTCCTGAAAGCAAGCTTTCCGTGAAAATCAGATGCTCTCTGCAAAAATACTAACTGGGACACTATTTTTCATTATTTGAAGTGGGAAAAATTAAAATGAAGTACATGTCAACACAAAATCTCCAATCAACTTCTAAAATGTAAAACAACACACACACACACACACTATTAGGATAAAAAACTGCTTAAATTTTCACTTCCCAATTAACATAATTGCTAGCAAAAAGTTGCTTTGTGTGTAGTAATATGGCCCCTGTTAGCACCAGTAACAACTGAGAAGTAGAGTCTTTATTTATACTAACTGGGTTTTTCAAAACATCTACCTATGATTCTGATGATCTACCAATTATATTTAGAATTTGAGACCTTTTCCACTTGTTTTGTTAAAAATGAACACAATTTTAGGAGGTAAATATACATTTCTCCTATATAAACACTGATTATTGTTCTGGGATATACATACATTCCATGCAATATTGTAATTAAAAAAATACTGTAATTAATTTTTCTACTGGGAAACCATAAACCAAAGAAGAGCTCTGCAGGGTATACAGCAGCATCTAGGACTGCAAAGGACTTGATAAAGAAATTTACATCTATGTTAGAATCCGTTATCAAAATGATGAGAAACAACACAACTCCTGACTAGATTCATTTTCCATGGTCCTTAAAAGTTTTCGGTGGGAAAAAAACGGCCAATTTAAAACTCATATGACATTTTCTTTGCTGCCAGTTATTTAAATTGTAAGATCATAAAATTTTTAGTTTAATATTAGTGTCCAAAAAAGAAACAGGATAATCAACAATATAAAAATAACTATCCTCACGTCACCTCCAACGACATCATTTGACGACATCATTTGGGCAACATGGTCCATTACTAGACAATTAGGAAAGGCATCAGTGATCTCTTGCACAAGCAGGTAAGAGTCTAGAACAAGGTAGTTTTGAAAATTCCCCAAATTACTACTGCTAGTATCAGAAAAGGCCCAAACCACCTTAAATCTTGGGAATTTATTCAGGACTTACGCTTGATTTTTTTTACAGCTTTAATGTACTGCCCACGAAGCTCTTCCAAGGCCCCATGGCTACATGGCAAGCAAGCATTTTCAATGGCCCCTTCTGACAATGACCTAAAAAACCAAAGATTGCAAAGTCATAGACTGTAAGTGAAAAACTTCATTGGATTAAAAAAAAACCAAAAAACTCTCTATTCCAATAAAACAAACTGAGATGTGCTAAAGAAATTCATATATGAGGATCTTTATTATACATTAGTTATTTAAAATAGGAGAAAAATGGAAACGATTTAAATGTTATGGTTACTTAAATCATGGTAAATCCACATGACGAAAATCGATGCAGCTACTGATAAGCATACTATAGGACAATATCTAATGACGTGGGGAAATGTTTATCTTATAATGTGTTAATAAAAGGTTACAAAACAGCTTATATAATACTCCCCATTTTTACAACGTGTGCACGTGGTGTGTGTATATAAAGGGGAGTTTAAATGATATAAAACAATAGGTTAACAGAGGGTATCACCTGAGAATAGGGTTTTGGAAGATATTTTTATTTTTATTTTTTATTATTTGTTTTTGTTTTTGTTTTTGTTTTTTAGCTGAGCCATCCCGCCACCTGTTGGCAGCTCCGCGGCTGCTCAGCTCGGGCTGACCCGAACCACTGTTGCTCAGAGCTCAAACTCTTGAGCGAGCTCTTAACCAACTGAGCCACTCAGCCGGCCCAAGACATTTTTATTTTTTTATACTTCTTGCTATACAGTGAGTCACATGCCACTTAAAAGATAGGATGCATTCTGCGGAATGCATCATTAGGCGATTCTGTCATTGTGCGAACATCACAGAGTGCACTTACACAGACCTAGGCTATATGGTATAGCCTCTTGCTTCTAGGCTACAAACCTGTACAGCATGTTACTGTACAAAACAACACGAGATTAAATCAACCACAAGAGAAAATGATGCAATCGAGAGACCCAGTAAACAAGAGATGTATGAAGCATAACACTGTATACTGTTTCACAGCAAACTTTTTTTTCGTAAGTAGAAAGAGTAAACTCTAAAATAAGGGTAAAAGGGGGCCGGCCGAGTGGCTCAGTTGGTTAAGAGCTCGCTCAAGAGTTTGAGCTCTGAGCAACAGCGGTTCGAGTCCAGCCCGAGCTGAGCAGTCACTGAGCTGCCAACAGGTAGCAGGATGGCTCAGCTAAAAAAAAAAAAATTTTTAATAAATAAAATAAAATAAGGGTAAAAAATATAGTATAATAAATACATAAACCAATAACAGCCATTATCATTATCAAGTATTATATACTGTACATAACTGCATGTGTTATACTTGTATATGACTGGCAGCGTAGGTTTGTTTACAGCAGCTTCTCCACAGACGCGTAATGCCTTGAGCTAAGACATTACGACAGCTATGATGTCACTAAGGAATAGAAATTTTTCAGCTCCATTATAATCTTACAGGACCACTGTCATATATGCGATCCATCATTAACCAAAATGTTGTTATTTGGCACATGACGATATAACAATAAAGATAACTTATATTCTTGGTATAATATTATTGATATGATTGACATCAAAAACTTAAAGATACTTAGAAATAAGCAATTTCTTTAAAATATCAAAAGTATACCTTGGTGGTATTTTACAAAGCGTCCTCAGTTCTTCCAGTTTATTCTTCATGTCATTATTTTCTTCTATTAATTCTTCCACAACTTTACTGTTCTCTTCTAAAAAATACATTTATAGTATATCAGTCAATTAATCTCCTTTTTTCTCAGCCTTCCTTTCCCATAAATTCCCAATGCAAATGTTTACAGAGGAAACTTTGAATTTCCAGCTGCTGCCCGTGTCATTCATTCCCTGATGAGCCCTAATCTGACCACTCCCTGTTCTGTTTTCTCAGCACTTAAAATCTGTATTCCATCTTTATCTTGCTTTGGACTATTACACTGTCCTGGAATAGATTTCCAACTGTTTCTTATGCATGTGTTTTGTTTCCAGCTAGACTGAGGCTCTGTAGAAACATACTAGATTTTCTAATTCCCTGCTCCCCATGGACCCTGGTATATAGTCTATGATCATATAAATGATCATTGAACAAGGACTTCAACACAAAATACTTTTTAAAAAATTAAGCTTAAGTAGGTGCCATTTTCAGAATTAAGGTCAGATTTTCGATTCTTTGAACTTTTAAAAAGATGAGGAGGCTGATACAGAGGACAAAGCATGAATTTCAGTCAGAGAGACACATGAGTTTAAACGCTAGCTCTGCTTCTTACCAGTTGGATGAACTTACGCAAATTACACTTTCTGAACCTGAGTTTTTTCATATTAAAAATGTTGATATTATTACCTACTTTGAAGATAATAATAGAAATAAAACAATATACGTGCAGCACTTTCCTTACATAAGGCCTGGCAACACCAATGTTCAATAAGTATGAACATGGCACCTCATGTATTCAACTTTCAACTCTCTCAACACGCCCCATAAATTGGAGAATGAGGCATCTATTCCCCCTAGTGATTTTTAAACCCCTCACTCTTACTCTATCACTTTCCAATAAATGCCAACAAGGCAGTGGAAATGGAATGTAACAAACAAAAAAGATGCAACCACAATAGCAAAAAATATTACCAACTAACAGATTTACACTAAGACACATACGGAAGTCGAACTATCGAACGACTTAAATTCTGACCCTGACACCTTTTTTTAGGGTAAGTACCAACTTTCTTGGATTATTTCTAAGTCGACGAATCACAGAAGCTATCAGCCTCAAAAAGCACTATAAGGAATAATGATTTTATGATCCCAATGTATGGTGCTAAATATTATTTATACACCATCATCATATCCAACTGCCCTTGTCATTTTATTATGTGAAACAGATTTTATGGGTTTTCATAAAATTTTACAAAAGCTACATTGTATCTACGTCGACAGTTGGACAAATATCTCACTCTCCTGGCCTCTACTAAAGAATTAAGTAATCACCATAGGAACGGTAGTTGTTAAAATTTTTATCTCAAAATTCTTAAAACCATTTTTCACCTTAACGTAATAATTATCTATCTCTAACAGACTTAGCAAGCAGTAGGTGGAAGGCAGCAGCTTCTGTCAACAGGATTTACAGAATATGCTATGATGCCAGATACTGTGCTAAGTGCTGGGACAGGAACTGGTCCCTGTCACCATCAAGTCTATGCTCCAAGGGAGAATACAGTCAATAGCTGCAAGGATGATGAATGTTGTAAGAATCACAGGCAGTGTGGGAAGGTCTAACAGAAGAACCTGCCCAAGTCTGGGGTGGTGCAGAAAGCCTCCCTGGGGAAGTACTGCACTGAGGGATAGATCAGGAGGTAGCCAGGCAATGCGATCAGCATGAGAGGACAGATGTTTGGGTACGGGGAGAGAATGTAAAGAAAACCAGAGAAGAGAGACAATGAAATCCAGGCTATGGCTCCATGAAAGAGTAAGAGAGCTAGCGGAAGATGAGGCTGGAGGAGCTGGCAGACATTGGATCATGAAGGGCTTTTTTAGACTGTGAAATTAGGTATGTATTCATATTTCATACTGAGGGCCACATTCGGCCACTGAAGGGCTTTACACAAGCGAGTGTCATGATCCAATTTACTTTTTTTAAAAGGTCATTTGTGAAAAAGTGGCTCTAGCTGTCTGATGGAGAATGGAAGCAGAAGGAATCAGGAAGTGACTGTTGTTGTCCAGGCAACAGACTGAGGTGAATGCAGAAAAAAGAATTAACCTATCACTTGGTCTTTTCTGGATGATGTGATTATTTGGGACCATCGGATTCAGTCCTTCCTTCATTCCAACTTACTATGGGCTGGTATATAGTGGGCACCATGACAACAAGGGCAAACAACACAAAACATTCCTTATCTTCAGGGAACTTACAGGCTGGAAAGGGTATCAGGCAAGTAACCAAAAATTAAATACTGAATGGTAATAGGAGCCAAGTGATACGGAGCCACACAGGAGAGTCCCACCTAACCCAGACTGGGGAGCATCAAGGAAGGCTCTGTAAATAAGGCATCTATCTTCTCAGGTGAGTCCTGCAGGATGAGAAAGAGTTAGGCCAAAGAGAGAATGAGAGGGTAAAGCGTAGGACAGAGAGACATCAGATACGAGATCCAGCCGTCAAAGAAAACTCCTGACCAGTTCAGGAATCTGAACTATTTGAAATGTGAAAAGTATAGAGCACGGGATCTCAGTGAATGGTGATAGGTAAGAGGGGGCAGCCTTGTAAGCCCACCAGCTTCCCTCCTTAGAAGGCCCACAGAAAATGGCAGAAGATATCTGAATAATTTCCCTTGAAACACTGTGAAGAATGGACTGGAAGGGGGCCAGATCAGACCCAATGGCTTTGTTCATGTCTTTTCCATCTGCCTAGAATGCTGTTCTTTTTGGCAAAGACGTTCATCTTTCAAGTCTTAGTCAAGCCTTCCTTAACTCTAATAGGAGGAAGTGTTAATTAACATCTTTCCTTCCAAGTTTACACGAACATGTTGCCAGTAGCACTCAATGCTGCAATTATTTATTATTCTGTTTTCAGTTCTCCTAACTTGATGATAAGCTTCTTGAAGAAAGCAGAGTCTTGTACATCTCCATCAGCACTGGAATTCTGACTGATGTATTTTCTGCCGTATCCCCAGTGCCTAGAACACTGCTTGACACATATTAGGCACTCAATATGTGTTCAGTCAAAAAAGGAAGAAAGGAATGTGACCTTTTAATCAACGTTCCAATTTTCCTCTTTTGAGTTCACTAATAATTTGGTTAGTAAAAATGAGGTCCAAATTAGTTTACATCAATCCCCCAAAGAGAATCAGTGCCTACATTAACTAAAATGTCACACTTGAACATTTCAACAAGAATTAGAGATTGATCCTGGTAGCGGTGCTACCTTAAATGCTAACCTCCAATTTTTTCCACTACAGCTTCGTGCTTCCTTTCTAAATGCTGAAGGTGCCTACAGCATTTCTCCAGTTTTCTTTTCAGATCTTGACATTCCTGCTTTTCCTTTTCAAGTTCTTGGAGGCAGTGTCCACAGCATGAATCTTTAATTTCAAGGGTCTTTTTCTTATCTGCAAAAATTAAATTATAGCAAGCTTTTATATCGACTTAGACTAAGAATAGGAAGAAGGCAGGAAGGCAGGCCAATGACATGACTAAAGGCTAGAGTGTAACTGAAAAAAAAGCATGATACTTGAGAAAGAACTGGGTTAAAATTCTGTTTCCACTACTTACTGGCTGTGTGATTCAGAGTGCATTACTTAGCCTTTCCGAGACTTAGTATTTTAATATGTAAAATTGAATAATACCATAAATTTTAAAAATTTCTATGAAACATAATGCTTGACCCTAGTATTGAATACCATTCCCCACTATAAGAAACCAGGGATCTTCAAGAAATGGCTGACTCTGGTACTGGGACAGGGTGCATACAAGATGAGGCTAGAGTCTTTACTATGACAGAAAGTAAGAAATTATTAAAAATACAGGCATGTCACGAGGACACAGGAGCCAGTTTGAAGGGGCTCCACTAGCTGAATCTGGGACAGTGTGATCAGTAATTAAGTAGAGTAATGACTTACAAGATATTTTAAAATAGGAATTCATGAGTCATACCAATAATGGGATGCATAGGTAAGTAAGTTGGTAGGTAGGTAAGTAAATGAATAAATCGAGAAATAAATAAACAGATAGATAAATAACTACACAGACAAACTAGAGGGGAGGATTCTTGATTATAACAACATTCCAAGTACCAAGCAGTAAAAGTGGAGGGAGGTCTGGAGTTGGAAAAATTATAATTTTGCAACCACCATAGCAACGACTGGATCAGAAAAGCATCATCAACGATTGCTAAATATAAGGGAAAGTTTTAATGAGAAGAATATTTTCATGATCTTAAAAGTGTCTCCCCACAGACTGCTTATTAGCTGCAAGGGGGAAATCCTACTCATTATACAGTGAAGACAACTGGCCAACACCCTGACCAGGTTCTCAAATAAACCTCACCAGAAAAAGACATCATGCTCATCCAGATATGACAACACATCACCCAGACACAAGCTGATTAGATGATTCGTAATGTAATTGTGAAGTAACATCAGACAAACCCCAAATGAGGAAAGTTCTATTAAAAGCTGGTCCGGGGAGGGGTCTGTGGGTGGTGGAGAGCTGAGAATATGTCTCTCAAGAATGTCAATATCATAAAAGGCAAAGAGAGACTGTAGAAACATTCTAATATTCTAGATTAAAGGAGACAAGAGACATGCTGTCAAAAAGTAACGCCTGACTCTGGACCGATTCCTGTAACAGAGGGGGGCAATGCTATAAAAAGCATTATTGGGTCAACTGACAAAATTAGAATACAAATGGTAGATTGATACAGTATTTTCATCTAATGTTAAATTTACTGTACTAAGGTTATACAAGAAAAATTCCTATTTTTGGA